TTAAAAATGATCAACAAAAAATTAAAAGTATTTTTATATAGAGAGGACGAGACTGCATTTATTATATAATATACAACAAAGATATTTATAACTGATAATAGTTTATTTTAGTTCTTTTATCTAGTATTGAACTTAAATGTTATTTAATCTTTTGTATAATAAACTCGACATAGTTCGTGCATGTGAACGGGTGAAAGAGTACTTGTATTTGATAAACATTATGACATTTTACTGTTGTAGTAAATGTTGTTTTAAAATACGTATGTTGGTATATTTCATTAGGCAAACTGGCTTATACTTACCGAGGAACGAATCACCAACAATAAAAAAATGGCTGCATATATTTGTTGTGTTATTTTATAATTTTTATTTGCATATCAATAATTTACTAAATACTAATAGTGGCACGATACTGGTATAAAAACATTCGTGTATTATACGAGTGTTAATTAAAAATATTTTATATAATAAATAAATAAAATATTAAAATTTTTATTTTAAATTGTTAAATACTTCTTAAAAGATTATATATTATATTTATTTAATTTATATTTATATATATAATTTTTTAATGTTTAATATAATGTGGAAATCGAATTGGAGACCCTCAAAAGAATTAATTTAATATATTATAAATAAAAATTGATTATGAATAAAATGGTCTTTAGTTTTTAAAATTTATTTATAATTTAAGTTGTCCAAGTGTTCTATAATTTTAAAAGTCGTAATAGATATAGTTAAAAGTCCAAATCTACATGGATTACTCCAAACCACAAGGAGTCGTTATATATGATTATGAGTACCAGAAGTCAACTAATAGGACTACGAAACACGGGAAGAAGTTGACATATACGATTACAAAACTCAAGTACAAAATGAGTGTCAACTGCACTAAGGAACTAGAAAACCTGGACCTACCCCCTTTGAATTCCAAAATAATCCAAGGGGTACAACTCCATCAAGGAGACAACCAACACTACAAGACACAAACTTCATAAAGGAGGCTTAAACTCCATAAATGATACTAGAGCAAAACTGGACTAACAAACCTAGAAAAGAAAGAAAAAAACACATACCTAATGTACAAGTAAAATAAAACCTCCCATACACCTAGCAGACATAACACACGAATCCAAGGAATACAACTACATCAAGGAGACAACCGACACTACAAGAGACAAACTCCATAAATAAGACTAGAGTCAGACAAAGCTGGACGAACAAACCTAAAAAACAAAGAAAAAACACACACCTAATGTACAAGTATAATAAAACCTTCCCTACACCTAGCAGATATAAAGCACAATCACCGGAGTCGACACACAAGCCACTCCCAGCAGCACAGAGATCCAACAAAGCGACAAACCAGAAGCTCAATTGTTATGTTAGATATCGTGATCCACATCAATCGAATATTGACCTAGTTTTCTTGGACAATTTATCCTTCTTTCTTTAGCCTATATTGTAAATATTTTAAAGAATTTTGATTACAAATTATTTATAGAAATTTGTGTAGTTAATATTTACGAAATATGATTAGGGACATAATATTAAAAACTGTAATATACAAAGATAACTACACACGATTTATTAGCTTAATTTCTGTATATTTATGAGAATAATAAGCATATATGTAATTTTAACAAATTTAAAATTTATTATTGAGCTATATTAGTTCGAGGCCAATCAATAATTAAACCAGGTTCTACAATCAAATGCCCAACCAGTTTATAATGAAACAGATCTATAGTTCTACTAGTGTTTCATTTTTCATTTGATTGAATGGTGTACACAATAATAATGTCATATTTATATATGGGTCAATTCATCCAAAAGAATGAAACACGAAAGTGAAACAGGAGATCTTATTCCGATTCTTCACAGTTGATTTATGCTATTAAGTTTATTGCCAATAAAACATTGCATTTACGAAATGATCTAGATAGTGATCAATTGGAATCACGACATACATTTGCGAGTAATCAATCAACATGCTTCATGCTACGCATATGGCCTCCCAAGGGATTATGAATTGGTACCAACAGATGTTTTAAATACCGTACCGGTTATTATACCGGACGAGCCAACGGTACGCGGTTCAACCGTTTCGACCGGTATTACTGTCTATTTTACAGATTTCAATAAATATTAAATTAATTTGTTATTATAATATAAATGATGTACAAAACTAACTTTAACTAATAGTAAAATTAATTAACATCTAATAACAATGTAAACATATTAAAATTAAGTGTAGAACTTTCAATTTATATAAATAAATTAATGAAAATATATTAAAAAATATTTTTTTTTTAAAAAAATGGCATAAACCGGTATTTTGACCGGTAAAACCGGTATTTTTCGATATGAAACCGGTATTTTGGCCAAAATGATAATTTAAGTGTAACCGTACCGGTCGGACCACCGGTATCCGGTATTACCGGTAATACCGACCGGTACGGTACGGTATTTAAAACATGGGGTACCAACAATCTTTGGGGTAAAAACATTTTCAAATCAGTGGCGTAGGGAAATATGTAGCTTGCCATCTTGCATCTAATAGACTAAATCTATATATATATAATAAGAATTAACATCTATACTTATATTAAAGGGGTACTATTTACCAAATTAAGTAGTCAGAAAAGCCAACAGCATTTATTGCATTACTATTTCCGTATTATACTATATAAAAGGATATTCTATTTACTACATTTACTATCCAGAAAAGTCAACTGTATTAAATGTCATTACTATTTTGGTATTATAATATTTTATTTAATTAATTAATTAATTAATTTGTTTTATTTTAAAAAGGTAAGTATAATAAAAATTAATAATACAAAAATCAAATACCAAATAAAAATGTACACTTTGACTTATTTGATTATATTTGGTATTTAATTATACCAAATATATTTCTATTTAGTATATACATTAAATACTTACTAAAGTATTTATTTATTTTATTTGTCAAAGTTAAGTATAGATTTGTTTATATTATCAAATCATAAAAAAAATATTAAATCCATATTGTAAAACAAAAATTCATATAATTTTATAACAATTCTACTACACTATTTAACAGTATTCTTTTTTTATTATATAATAAAATAATAATTAAATATTATTTGGTGAACAACAATAAGTAAAACTGTTACTTTCTCTTATATCAAGGGATAAATTTATATGCTAAAATTAAATTTTTAATAGTATAAATGTTTTAGTGAGATAATATATTAATTATTTTACAAGCTAGCCCTAACATGCTCATATTTAATGTTTTAAAAGATGTAGAAAAAAAACTTATAATAACTCTATTGTTTTTTAGACTTAAACGTTGATTAAAAGAGGTAAAAATTCTAAATTTTTTAGACTTAAACGTTGATTAACACCATAGATTGAGAGTTTATATTTAGTAAAATTCCTAATTGTAATAAAAAAATTAATTTTTGCTATATTTTAGAATATCTTTAAATTCATTATAAAAAAAAAAGAAAAAAAAAACTACAATGAAAAAAGCAAGTCAGCTATATATCGATTTGTTGTACTCCTCAAATCACATTCAGAATTTGGCTACAAGGAAAGGAAACTCGTTGATTAAAATATTATTTTGTCAGTAGTTTTAATGTACAAGAGACTTTAAGACTCCACTTGAATATTATAAAACTTTTATTGAACATTGTACAATTTCTTGCGTATTATAAACTTTTATTGAATATTGCATCTTATAATATAATATTATCCAAATAAATATATCTCGTGCTTCGCACGTACTATATATATCCCGTACATTTTTCTTTATTCATGTATATAATTATAAGCCTGGAAAAATAGTCTTAAAATTGTGCACCCCGTGCATCACACGGGCTCTGTACTAGTTTTTAAAAAATAGTAAGCAAAAAAATAGGGAATATTAATTGCATTCCACTTTTGGTATGTGTTTTTTATTTTTCTTAATAAAAAAATCAATTAGCATTTAATGCTAGCACAAATCATGAGATTTGTTATAGCATTTAATTTCAAACTTTAAACAAAACATGCCTAAATGTATTTTGAAATTTTTAAGGGAAAAATTTAACAAACACGTTAAAGATTTCACAATATATATATTTATATATATTATCTTAACAAATAGGTTAATTAGCTTCATATCTAAACAATATATAAACAAATATAATAATTTGTCGTACAATACAGACAAATATATAAAAAATATATTTATATACAAATATAATAAACAAATATAATAAACAATACAAACAAATATACAAACAATTTATAAGCAAATATAATAACTTGTCACGTGTATATTTCGCACAATACATATATTTATATATATTATCTTAACATATAAGTTAATTAGTTTCATATCTAAACAATATATATTTTAGGAACTTAAAGATTCATAACATTACTGACGTCATATATATTTATAATATAGACTCTGACTCTGAACTGGCGCGGGAGAGGGGGCACTTGGGGAATCTTTCGATCAGCCCCCCTCAATTCAATGAGAAAATAGATCATTCTCGTTCAAACTCGTGTGAGGTGTCACGTACATTTTACTACAATTGGTAACTTTTTTAAAATTATTTGAATAATTGGAAGTTGATTTGTAATTTCAATTTCAAATTCATTCAAACATTTAAAGGAAAATATCATAAGCAAATTTTTTTGATACATTTCATTTTATCTCAACTTACATATAATCACATTCCTACCAAACATTAAATTTGCTTATATCTTTTTAAATTAATTACATCAATAAATAATATTAATATACATTACATATTTATTATTATATAACAAATATATTACTTCTACAAGTGTTATAAATAATAATGACATTATATGATAATAGATTTTTTGATTAATTGAGTATTATGAATCTATGATGAACCAAAATATGTAAAATTATTATTATTTTGTATTAAATATATATATATATATGTTAAAATATTATTTATATAATAATATAAACGGGTCAGCATGCTAANAAAACTAACAAGAAAACAGATAGATTGAACCAAAAAGCATAAAACATGAAATAGACACATAGCAGACTCTAAGATCAGGCGTCAGTGTGAAATCTGCAGTTCGTTATTTTGTTCAAATACAACCCTAGTATGTTTAGCTTCAAGCATTGAAAGTACTGGCCAGTCTTCAAAATTCAATTTAAAACCAGACAAGGCAAGATGCCAATAAATTTAGAACTCGGTAGGTGGTTTTAACCGTATAAGCCTCTTGATTCTATCTTTGTCGGTGTTCTCCAGAAGACCCTTCAATGAAAAGTGACTACAATCAGTGCAAATATGAAGCATTTCAATATCCAAATTGAGGTACAAAACAAAGTTGAAGTGTCCCATTTACTGGCCTTAAATTTATTTCAAATTTATAGGGGAAAATCCTTAAATTTATTTTTTTTTCTTTCAAATTGCATCAGAAGACTATTTAGATAACTAGAAGCAGCAAAAAGAATCAAGGGCCATCAACAAAATTTGAGTAAGACGTTTTGGGTTCTGTTAATTTTCGCAGGGGAAGCACATATGTGATGTTTTTAGAACACAAGAGTAATGAAGACAAATCATCGATGATACAAGCTGAAGGAATTGCCTGTCAAAATATCCCACAATATAATACATGTGGTAATATATTAACCAAATAATACTAACCTTCCAAACAATTTCATCCAAGCACAAACATATTTTCCCATATTTGTCAAGGAATAGGCGTTCAGTTGGAGGCTTTCCGCAAACATTCTTCAGGGCTGAGGTTATAACAAATATAGCTTCCGATACTGAACGAAGAAGATTCTAATAGTAAGATAAAATGATCAAAAAAACCAATATGCAAAACCCTCAAAATAAGTACAGAAAAAAAATGAATGAGGACGTCAAACCAAAGGGAATTACCACCATATTTTAATGAAGATTTTCAAGAAAAATCTGTTTGAATTCCAAAAAATACAAGAGAAAGAAGAAAACACACTACTAAGACTCATCAAAATCCTCTGAAGATTTAACTGCACATGCACATTCATTCCTTTTATTCTTGGCCATCAACATATAGCAAAACAAATAAATGATAATACACTTACAGGCAAGTTCATCATACTCATCCTTGCCAACGACAAATATACTAACATCACCCAGCACTGTGTACACGATATACACTGACCTGGACAGAAAGACAATACAAAATTACTCACATAAATTACACATAACAAGATGAAGAGTCCAGAAGATCTTCAAACAAAATAGGTCTCATTCCATACTGTGTGCTTAAATATGTTATCATAACCTAACTTTCCCGGTAAACTAAGTACTAGTGTCCTTTTCCATATCTGTTACTCAGGCAGTGAGTCGGTAACCACGTTAGTAGCAATACTTTCATATGAAAATCAACAAGCAAAAAAATAAGGCAACTTTCCTTTTCCTTTTCCTTCAGTGCAATGTATAGATCCTTCAATTGTTTTCATAAATTCTAAAATACACAGTGCTTGGGCAAAATGTAAGTGAAAAAGCTACTGTAAGCCTGTAGAAGATCAATAAAGATCCGAACAATTTGCAGAATTGCCGGTTTGTTTCCAAACTAGAAGAATATTTCAAAAAACTTAAGGCAAGCCCAACACAAAAAACTACATCATTGTGACTATCTAAGATCTGGATGTTCAGTGACAAGTTTGATTCGAAGAAGGCCATAACCATGACAGTTTCCATCACAAGAAGGAAAGCATCACAAAACAACAACAGTTATAATAATGAGAGAGGCAGAGAGAGAGAAAGGTGACTTGTGATTAGCTACAAGGAGCTCCTCGTTCTTGACTCCTCTAAGGTTATCAGCTCCGAGCTTCACAAGAAAAGATCTCCAATGTAACCGTTCTTCTGCCGGAACTCCATTGAAACTACATCACCAGCAACATGAACCAACAAAATAAAACAAAGTTTGACATTCAATCATGAAAAGCAGATATTAATAGTTACTAGTTAGAATATGCCTAAGAATGTTGCTTAGAAACGTTAGGGTAAATTTTGCAAGTGAACTGTTTTCCATTTGCTGAAAATAGGGGTGGCATATTTGTCAGAACAACCGACCGAATCGAACCAAACTGACACTTAAACAATGTAGAATGGAACCGAACAGAACCAAACCATTTTTCACAATAACCGATTATAGTTTAGTTCGGCTGTGCATAGACTTTTATATGGTTCGTTATTGAATAGCACTACTATTTTTCATATAGTAATATATCCTCAGGCAAGAAGAACGCTTAGATATTTGTCTTTCAATCAAAAGTTCATCCAGCATGATTCCACCTTATTTAGTTCCTTATATTTTCCCCCATCTCCTCTAGTTTTGCTGCTATGTTTTGCCAGTTATTTTCTGTTCATCTCTCTCTCTCTCTCTCTCTCTTTATATTTTTGTTTACTATTTTTTTTAAAGCAGTAAAAGTTGTTGTTTGCTGTCTAGTTATGGCTCCATGCGATGTTTTGCTGTTTTACATCCTTTTTTGGCAGCTCCTTTGGATTTTCAGCATTACCAAAATAGTTAAAAGTCGGTAACCGAGTGAAAATCATATCCATTTCGATTTAAATATCTAGCATTACAGAATAAATTGTTTCATTTTGGTACTTGTTCAGCTGCCCAACTAAGTCCACCCTTGTTATAAACACTAGAGGAAATTTTGCAACTGAATTAATCTTTACTCTATCAATACACCACTAAATCTCAAATAGATCCAAATATAGACGTGAAATTGAAGCTTCCTTTAACAGGAACATGAACTAAAACAAGAAGATAATCCAATCCAATCCAGATCAAGATGATAAAAAGAAGAAAAACCAAATGAGAAAAGAAAGAGAATGATTTGCTTATTGGACCAACGTCTCCTTAATTTTACCGTTCGACGAGAATATTGCCCTCGGAGTTGGCGATCAAAGCCGCGAGCAGCATCTTTCTCCTCACCTGCGATTCGGACCAAACCTTGTTCCGATTTGTCGGGAAATTATGCAAATAAAGCTTATTGGTGATTCTTTGTTTGGGAACTGTAGATATTAATTATTGTTGATACTCATCTATTATTTACCGCCCTTATTGCTAGTCACTGCCCATTTTTACTCACTAGTATTTTATCCTGTACATTTGCACAAATATAAATAAAACATTATAAGTTATTTATATATATATAATATTAAAATTATAAATTAGATAATGATATTATATTTTTAACATAGGGTATTATAAATTATATTTATGCGTATAATATTAAAATTATAAGTTAGATAAAGGTATTATACTTTAAAATTTGATTATTGGTTAAAATAAATAATACATAACGATTTTATTGTATATGAATCACTATATTGATTGCATAAAATAAAATAAATAATGTATTTTTTGAAATTTTAAGGAACTATGACTAATTAATTAGCTAAAAAATATTAAATTTATAACAATTGCTTATGTGATTTTAAGAAATTTTGTTATGCCATTAAAAAAAATTAATTTATTTAAAAAGTAATCGCTTAAGCAGATAAAGAAATATTATATTGATTTTATAATAAATTACTCAAACAAAAAGTTTTTATAATATAATTTCTTATGTTTATGCAACTTTCACATATCATTTAGTGTAAAATATAATTATTAATTGTAATAATAACTATTATATGATACAATTTCCAGAGGTGGTGAAATTATTTTGTATTGTTGTTAGTGTATTCGTCCCTGTTATACATGTGCTGTATTTTCTTATTTTCACCATGATTAATTATTGTAGTGATATCATCAAAAACAATAGGTATTCTAAATAAACATTTATAAATTTTTTTTTAAAAAAATTTATATTCTGAATACATGATTATGTAATCATGAATTTCTATAATAAATAATTCATAATTAAGTTAGCATAGTAATGAATATATAAAATAATAAAAATTAAAAAAGTAAACATTTTTAGCTAATTAACCTAAATTGATAAAAATAAACTAGCCAAACGGAATTGAGTAAAATTCGCTGCCCCCAATTTCGTCGCCCCCAATTTCCACCGAAACCCTCGTCGCCGTTTCTCAATTTGCTGCCTTCCACTTAGCTTCTGGGCCGACGGCAGTCGTCCCCTAGCCGATCAGCCCTTTCCCGTCGCTGCGATCTCCCTCGACTGAATGTGCAATTAACAGTTTGTCCGCCCAAATCCACGTCGTCTATCCGGTGCTGGTTGTGTCGCTTGGTCCTGTGCTATGGCGAGGGCTGGGCCTGTTGTACCGGTGATGAGGCTCGGTGATGGTGCGGTTCAAAGCGTGGCTCCGCGGCGCGGCTCTGTCGCTGTCTCTCGGGAGACTTCCACCATGGAGCTGCGGTGGGATTTGGTTGAGGGGAGGTTCTACGGAAAGGGACGGGTGCAGCTCCGGCGGCTTGCGGCTTCGGGCCGAAGTGGCTATGGCTGCTTCTTCAGATCGGTTCCCTCTTCCGGTTCTCTGGCGCAGGGTCCAGGGATGCTTGCTGCTTGGGTCCGAGTTGCTAGTGGTGTTAGTTGGCTCGGCTCGGTGGTGACTGGGTATCCTCTCTGGCGCGGGGAATTTGAGTGTTTGCTGTTGGTATCAAGTTGCTAGTGGTGTTAGTCGGCTAGATACTGTGGCGGTTGGGTGCCTTCTGGAGTTTTTCGGCTCGGGATGAATTGGTTTTTTGGGGATTTTCTGATGCTTGGGATTCGGCTCAGCTAGGCGGTTTGGCAGTGGAGGGGTCGGCCTTCTCAGGCTAGGGATTCCTCTGAAGTCGATTTGGTGCTTGCTGGTCTGTCCCGGATTTGCTACTGTGGAAGGGCTTGAGTGTTTTTTATGTTTAGTTATTTAGTTTTTCTGTGGTTTTCTTGTGTTTGTTTGTGTTATTTTGTTTCCTGTGTTTTAGGTTTGGGCCGTTTGGCCCCAGTGAGCCCGAGTGTCAAAATTGATTCTCTTGTTGGGAGCAGACACTCGGGTATTATCCTGTTGGGATCCTTGTAGTTTTTCGTTGTGTTTTGTGGTGTTAGGTGTCTAGTGAGTCTTTGATTTGGGTTTCTAGCGTTGCTAGAGTCGGGATTCTAGGCGGTCGTCAGACCTGTCCTCCCATTTTATTCAGTTTTTAGCTGCTCTTTCTTCTCGCGTTGGGAGCCTTGTAGTTTTATTTGCACTTTTGTGCGTTTTGAGTTATAATAGTTCTTCTATCGTTCCGACCAAAAAAAATAACCTAAATTGATATACTTAGATAAAATAGTGGTCATTAGTTTAGATTTTGCAACTATCCAAAATTGATGTATTTTGTAAAAGTAACGGTTTTTGTATTTGGAAAGTTTGTATTATTTATTAGGTAAAATTTATTAGGTTTTATTTATGAGGTAAAATTAAATGAAAGGCTAGCAATTATATATATATATATATAGATTTGCCCTTTCTCTCTATCTCTCTAAATTTTCTCTCTAAATTCTCACTTTCAACGAGCCATTTGAGCGTCCAAAAAAACCCGAAAAAATGTCGAAAAAATCCTACGGCATTGGCAAAGCATTATTCTTTAGCAATGTAATTTTTTTTTCGTTTTAAAATATTTTTACTTTTTTTTTTATTCTGCACAGCGTTCGGCCGTCGCTTCCGGACGGCGAAAAAGGCGTCCGGAACCGCCAGACGCACGGCTTCTCAGCATGTCGCGATCAGAGGTCGGACGCCGGAAAAACGGTGCGCGATCGGGGGCCGAACGGACGGAACTGGACCAGCCCCGCCGGCCGGTCACGAGCCGGCCGGACAATTTTTTTTATAATAATAATAATTATTAATTATAATATATAATTAATTATNACATACGTTCGTGCTACAGAGCAACGGAAAATTGCATCAATTGTATCTTTTTTCCATTTTTAAGTTGTATGGTTTTTTTTTATTTGTTAAACTTCAGTTGAATGAGTTTTTTTTTTTTAATGTAAAATATTAGGTTGAATGGTTTTTTTATTACTAGTGTATATCCTGTGCGATACACGTAGGAGCTCATATTTTAAGAAATACAATTATATAAATGTGCGTCAAAAAATATTATACTAATTAGCTTGTTTATGAATATGTTTAAAATTTTAATTTTGAATTTTGCAATAGAATAGAAGACGGAATAATTAAAAGTTTAATTAGTTAAAATATTATATTAATTATATTTTAAAAATTCTAGTTAAATAATTGTAATTGTATTAATTTGTTTGTTAGGAATGTGATTATATGGAAGTTAAGATAAAATAAAATGTACCCAAAAAATCTACTTGTGATCTTTTCCTTTAAATGTTTGAATTTAAAAATCTAATAACCAAATTTAGATTATATACGTAAGGAAAAAATAAATAATAAACATTTATTAAAGAGATAAACCAATAATATTTATAATAGTTATATCATAAAAAATTTAGTCATATCATTTTAATTTCAAAAAAGTTGGCAAGTTTGTTAGAGAGATAATTCCGGCAGATAAATGATTAATTTGTTAAGATATTATATTAGTTATGTCATAAAAAATTTAGTTAGATAATGTAGATAAAAAAATATAATATTAATTAGTTTGTTAGAAATGTGATTATATGAGAATCAAGATAAAATAAAATTTACCCAAAAAATTTTCTTATGATTTTTTCCTTTAAATGTTTGAATTTAAAAATCTAATAACCAAATTTAGATTCTAAAATTAATTATATTTTATATCTATTTTTTACTCCTCCATTATATTTGCTTCCGCTGCTACTTTTCCGGGATCATGCGACTCAACTCATCACAATCACATCTTTATTTAGTTTTATCAACTCATTGAAATTACATCTATTAAAATAAATTTCCTGTCGAAACCTTTCACTTTCCTGAATGAAATATTTTTTAAAAGTTTTGAATCCACATTTTATTAATCGAATATTCAGGTTTTATAAAGAACGATTTGTTTCATAATATGTAAATCTTTTAATTTTAAAAATGATCTTGCAACTTATATTAATGAAAATTAGCTAAAATATTATAGATGTTTTTAGACATTTTTTAATAAATAGCATATAAAACTGTAGGTGTTTAAAAAAAAAAAAAGAATAGATAAATTTAATTGTATTTAACATTTTTTGACATATATGTTAGTTTTTTTATCCATGTTAAAGATGTTAAGAAATTTTACATACAACTCAAACATTCGTCCAATTGTTTTTTCTACACCAACGAAATTCTACCTATACAACTCAAACATTCGTCCAATTGTTTTTTCTACACCAACGAAATTCTACCTACGATTTTAGGATTGACATGATATATAAATATCGCTTCCAAATTTAAATCAAATTAAAGAATTAGAAATGGAATTAACTCATGATTTTAGGAATCACGTGAGAAATTAATCCGCAAAACCAAATTTCATGGGCGGGAGATACCAATATTTACGTTAGCCAAATATTTCAAATAAAATTTTAAGGGGAAAATAAACATTTGAGCGGGAAAATGAATTATTTTTTTCGATTTTTTCTTAGCTGTATTATATAGTAATAGATTTCCTAAACTTCAGTTAAATGATATTTTTTTCTTATTTCCTAAAATTCAGTTGAATGATTTTTTTTTATTCTAACGTTCAATTTATAACAAATTATTTTGAATATATAACATAATAATTTATAATAATATTATTTTTTAAAAAAAAAAGGTGTCCTGCCGGTCGGACCGGTCACGACCGGCCTTCGGCGCCGGACAACCAACGGTCGTCCGGTCAGCCCAAAAACCGGTTCGTACCGCCGTAAATCGCGTACGGACACTGTCGTGTCCGGTCCGACCGGCCGGACACCATTTGGGCCGTCCGGTTTCGGCGGCCGGACAAGTTTTTTTTTTTTACTTTTTGGAAAAAAATGTCAGGGGCAAAACTTTCCAAGGGGGGCGGTAACTAGTAATAGGGGAGGCGGTGAATAGTAATGCTCTTGTTGATATGTGTGTTTGAATGTGGTGATTATTTGAGGTTTAAAGCGTACTAGTATATCACCCGCGCGTTGCGGCTTGATCTTAAAAATGATAGATGTT